AATGTACTTTCCAGGGACATGAGATTGCAGCGTTTATTAAAAAAAAATTGTATATATTTGTAGCATTGAGAAATATTGCCTACATTTAAGTGTTGACCTGCTTTTGTAAAAGTTTCCTTGGAACAAAACCTGCACATTTACATGTGAATGGTTTGTGGCTGCTTTCATGCTACAGACTTAGTGAGATAGAGACCATGTGGCCTCCACAGCTTCAAATAATTACTGTACTGACCCTGAGCCTGGTCTGTAATCAGCAACTTTAAAAATATTTATTAGAAATGAAAGTTTTTTGGTTGAGTAGCCAGCAGCAGCCTAAGGTATCTCGGTTTAGATAAAAGATTCTGCAAACCTTGATTAAAGTCATTAGAAACTGATTTGATTTGAAGAAGTTGTTTTCAGATCTCAAAATATGCATTTGATGTGGTGCCTATAAGTAATAGTATGGAAATTTAAAATGTTACTGCTTCAGAGAGCACTTTTCAGTGTACTTGAGGGCAATTGAAACATAAAGAGCCCGAATGAGTTAGACTGAAAACCCAGGCTATTACTTAGCGTCTTTCCTTTGAATTGATAAGTCTTGAGTATTGAGTAGCCAAAGGAAGGGGCAGGTTAATCCTGAGACTTCATTTCAGTCACTGCGGTCAGATGGATTTAGTTTGTATAAATAAAGGGCTGTTCACAGGTTACTCAATAACATTAGAACATAGCATATGAGGGAAGAAAGTTTGGATATGGGAGCAGAGTTTAGCAGAGCAGATATCAGTAGCCCTAGAAAAGTTAAAATAGTCTTAACTGAAGCAGTAATTTTATGGAACACACTAACGAGATCAGCAGCCACTTTAGACTTTGGAAAACGTGGTAGCAGGGAGCCAGACCCTAAGAAATAAAAGGTGAGACTAAAACCTATATATGAGAAAACTGGGTGTCTGGAGAGCCCAAGCCTAGAGAGCATGCAGCCGTGCTCTTCTGACTCAAGCATAGGTATGAGAATCGTCGGGCAAAGGGAAAGAAAGGTCCCAGAATCAACTTTCATTCTTCTCCAGCATTCTCCAGTATAAACCATGTTTTCTGTCCCAGATCAAAATTTGAGAATACAGAGAGAGTTACATTCCCAATTCTTGGTGCAGCTTGATCGATCTGGTTAGAATGAGGGTTGGAATGAAACTTGGTACTTCCTAATTATCAATTGGGTAATAAAGGTTTATTAACTGTGTATCAGGCATTGTCATATCCTGTAGATCTAAAGATTAAATATAGTGTCTTCATGTACATTGTATTATTTATAGATGTTTTAAAAAGCTTCGAATGGGTTAGCAGCATATTTCGTCACTATTTTCTTTTTCTAAAATACTGAATGTTGTAGTGACATCATAAAATTCTCAATAAGTAGTCTGATGGCGGTCCTAGAGGATTGAGTTTGATGCTGAGGACTGAGCAATGGTGGAATGTATAGAACACTTCAATTTGGAGATAGAATGGAAGGAAATAGAAGGAAAGCTGGATGATGACAAGCTGTCTCTGAAGTCATGTACTAGGTTCACATTAGTTTATTAAATGTATAAATTTATACTCCACCTGTTTTTAAAAGAACTTTGAAGCATCTTAGAGTTATTTGCAGTTGAAAAATAGATTTTATTATTGTATACAACAAAACTAGTTAAATATAGCTGAGAAGTAATGTCAGTAGACATCTGTGATGTTTTCAGAATGAGTAAACATCAGCAACAGCCCCAGAAAAGGGAAACGTTAAATCATCCTTTTTTGATAGAAAGTAAGCTCATGAAAATTAGCCAAGTCATTCTCTGAATTCAGTGAAAATATACTTTGTGAATTCTTATGTAAGGGAATTTTTGGGTAGAGATCAGTAAAAGATAGTGTTCTAGGGGAAATTTTTAATCTTTGTAAGTTAAGTATTTATTATTAAATTTTAGTACAGGTGTTTGGTGAGGAATTAGATGAAATGTTCAGTGCCTGTTTTCTGATGATCACATTTCATAACAGATTTTAGAAAATCTACAGAAGTAGTTGGAAGCATGTGTATCAGTGATCCTTTGACAAGTACTAAATTACGTAGTATTTCTCCGGGTAGTACCTTAAGTTTCTGCAGTAGACGCATTTTTGGAAGAGCTTCTCAGATGAGAGCTGACTTTTCAGACTGAAAATGTTTTACAAGTCTAAATTATATTTCCCTTACCTCGTCTCCCACATCCCCCAACCGCCCCCCTTCTCCCTAAAAAAAGAATGCAAACAAGCAAAGCTTTGAGCTGCTAGAATATGGACTGATGCTTGATCGAAATGTCAGGGCTTTATTACACAAAGTGGAAGAAGTGATGAATTGCTAACCGTAGGAAGAACCTAATACATCTTCGTTCTCTAGTAACAGATTACTATAGAAAGAACCTTCAAGTAGCTAAGAGAATAAATAAATGATGGATCTGTTAATGGAGATTAACTACCAAAGAGGAGGATTTTAATTTTAACGATGGCTAATTCTGCTGAGCTACTTTAGTTCTGAAAGCTTTATATGCGATATTTCTGTGAAATGAGTATCGTTTTTTGTTTTGTAAATAAGAACACTCAGCTTCAGAGGTCTAGTAATTTGTAATAAGGTGATGTAGCTAGAATTCAAATCCAGGTCTTTCTGTGTAAAGCTTGTGCAATGCTGTGTGTTGTATGTATTTGTTAATTTTAATTTATTCTTAACAAATATCGGTTCTCTAGACACAGGATATAGTTTGGAGCAAAAGAAAAAATCTAAACAGAGTCAGGGCTTTGTTCTCTAGCAGGAGAGGGCAGGAGTGGATCTCAGGTGGGCCTGGGCCTAAGAAAGTCTGCTTTACATGGCTTGCAGTATGGAGTGTGTTGATGTTATTTATTTTGCACCTGGCGGGTAGACTGGCATATGGGCAGGAATTGAAGCTACACATATATTAAAATTCTCTAAGTTTGACAGAGGTAGCTTCTTAAAGGATCTGATGAAATCCTAACCCTGGTTGGGTAGAATCATCAAGAGGTGAGCACCTCTGTGGGAACTTAAAGGGAAAGACATTTGTATTTCTCCCGGGATTGATTTCATCTTGGACAGCTCTTAGGGTACAGTTAATCTCTTATTAACTTAAACTTCATTAAGGAACTTACATCCTTTGTCTTTTGTTACTAATGCTCAGTATTAAATAATCATCATACAAGGAAATGTCAGATTACTACAGTGAATGCTTCGAAGGCGAATGACCGTACAATGAGAGCATAAGAGGTTCTGATCTGGTTGGGGAGGTCGGGAAGGCTTTCCTCATTAGGTGATGCTTTGACCAAGATGGATCATCTAGTGGGGATCATCAAGTGGGGAGGCCCTGGTGGGGAGGATTCCAAATAGAGAGAACAAGCCCATTTTAAAGGCTCTGTTAGGGATCATTGTGCCTGGAGCAGAGGGCTGGACTGGGAATCACAGGGTGAGAGGAAACTGCAAAGGTAGAGACAGGAGTTAGATCAGGCAGGGCCTTGTGTATAGATTTTTGTATTTATCCAGAGTAGGAAAACATTGATCTTTTTAAGGGTAGAGAGAATGGGTATTAATCACCTCTCAGATTAGTTTTTGAAAAGATACACATGCCATATCCTTTTGGGTATTGTCTATGTGAGAGAGAAAGGTATTTGAACTGCAGTTGTGGTGGCAGTTGGAGGAGAAAGAGGAGACAAATATGAGGGAAGGAAACTGGGTAAAAATCAGTAGAAATCAGTGATAGATGGGTTATTAGGGGTGCTGGAGCAAAAGCTGTAGAGGACTCGTTAAATTTCTAGTCGATTAACTAACAAATTTGGCTTAATTTAAAGTTTGTATAAGTTGTTATTGTAGTGTCATAATGGTCAAAGCTTAGTTTCCAGACTTATATTTAATATTCTAGCATTATTGTTAGAATCTTAGCATCACTGAGTGCAATACAAGTTTTAATCAGTGTTCATTTAAGCTTATTTGTCTCTCTCCTAATTTCTCCCCTTGTCTTTAACCTTTTTTTTTTTTTTTTTAATCTAAGCAGTATTATTATCCTTTGCTTATATGAGAAATTTCAAAACAAAATATTCTGGGGGGCAGATTATTGCTAAACGTTATATCCCTTGATTTCTAAAAAGTTTTATTGAGGTATAATTCACCTACCATATAGGTAACCAATTTAAAGTATACAATTCAGTGGCTTTTAGTATGGTCGTACAAATATCACTACATTCGACTTTAGAATATTTTCATTACCCCAGAAAAAAATACAGTACTCATTAGTAGCGACTCTTCATTTCTCTCCAGTTCTCCCATTTGTCGACAATCACCAATAGATTTATCTTTTCTGGACATTTCATATAAATGTAATCCTATAATATGTTATTTTTAAAATTTGGACAGCATAGTATTTTTAAGATTCATCTATTTTGAAGCATATATTAGTACTTCATTCCTTTTTCATGGCTGATATGTCACTGAATGGTTATAACTCATTTTGTTTATTCAGTATTCATCAGTTCATGGGCTTTGGCGGTTTCCACTTTTTAAATGAATTTTTTATAAATGTCACGATTACTATTTGTGTATAAGTTCTTATGTGAACATACATTTTCAGTTCTCTTGGATATGTGTTCCTGGGAGTGGAATTGCTGGTTAAATCCTGTATTACCACGTTTCATTTTTTGAGGAGCTGCCAAGCTGTTTTCCAGAGCTGCTACACCATTTTACATGCCCGCTAGCAGTGCATTAGGGTTCCACTTTCTCCATGTCCCACCAACACATGTTGTTATCTGTCTTTTTGATTGTAAGCGAGTGTGAACTGATACCTCATTGTGGTTTTGAATTGCATTTCCCAGATGGCTAATAATGTTCAACTTGATTTTTAAAAGAAAGGCAGCACAGCATTTTCATTGAGAATATGAAATTGGAAATTGTTTGGTAATTTCATGTAATTGCTTAGAGACAGTTAGTTTGGCTGAATTTAAAATTTGTTCTTTTTTTTCATCAGTTGTATTCCCTGAATGACTACAAACCACCAATTTCTAAAGCGAAAATGACCCAAATTACTAAGGCAGCCATCAAAGCTATTAAGGTGAGTTATAAATTTTACTTCTGTGTTTTCAAAAGAAAATACTATGCTAATATTTTCGGGGTGGGATAATTTTTACAGATTATATATTTTCTTCCTTTTTACAGAGTTAATAAATGTTCATGGGGAAAAACAAAAATGAAAATCTGTCAGCTGCAAACTCTCCCACCTAGCGATAAACACATAACATTTTGATAAATATTCTTCCATAAACTTTGAAGCAGTCATTTTTCCTTACTTTTCTTAGGTAGGTAAGATTTTAGATATAGCCACATTGTGGAGAATGTGTTTAACACTGTTATTTGGCACAGTGACTTTTACAGAATCTTGAAATCTTGAAATTATTTCTTAAAAGTTTTGTAAGTAAAAATTAATGTATTGATTTTTTTCTTATTGATTCTATTATAGATTTGGAAATGGGCCTTTATGGAAAATAATTGAGCCTCATTGTACATAGGACATTTGAACTGTGGGAAGAGGCCACAGACATTTAGCCATTGCTCTGATACAGTGGTTTTGAACCTATGTTGACTCATGGATACTTCTGAAAATCTCAGGAAAAGGTTGGACCCTCTCTAGAGAAGTATACATATGCACAAAATTTTACATAAAGTTTCTTGGCTCTAAGGACCTTTTGAAACTCAGCCATAGTCATCTCTCCAAGAGGTTCCTGTCCCCAAAGCTAAGACTCCCTGCTTTAGTGGGGCTCTTAAAAACAAGAATGAATGAGTGCTTATTTTTAATTAAGCAGGTATTAACCTATGGGTATTTGGTGATACGTTTTCCTACTATAAATAAGAACATCAGCCATAACCAGAAGCACCAGTTATTTTAATAAATTGTGTTTAACAGCATTATCTATTTACAGAGAATCACCACTAGGAGAAAATTCATATAATTAGATGATTTTGCAGTGTTCTAATGGCCAAATCTTAGTTTTCAGACATGTAGTTAATATCTTACAGTATTGTAGTTATAATCCCAGTATTTATATACAGAAAATCAAAGGAGGATAAGGACAGTCACCAGTAAACACATTTAAGCTAGAGAATTCTTCAAAGAAGTGATTTTTCAGACTATCTGATAGGCTTAGTATAGAATGTTTAATTTCTTGTGCTTTTTTTTATCTGTACTGTTCTACATTGTGATCTGATTTTTTATAGTCATGATCCTGAGAGTGTGCAAACATGTATATTATTATTTTATGAATATTAGTAATTGATGCATTTGCACATAATTTTTTTGTTGATCACAATACTATTTAATTAGGAGACTCCATAAGGCATAGGTGCTAACATTATTTCCATTTTTTAGATGTTGGAAGGGTCTAAGAGAAATTAAGTAATTTACAATAGTCAGAATAAATACAGCTAGATTCAAATCCAGCTTTCTCTTGATCAAGAATCTAACCATTATGACATACTGTACTGTTTTATTGTTGCTGTTCTAAATTTTTTTTATTTTGAAAAAAATTCAAACGTTGTAAAATATTAACACACAGTTTCCCCTTAGATTTGCCAGTTCTGAACATTTTGCTACATTTGGTGTAGTTCTAAACACACACACACATTGCATGCACGCATGTGCACACTCTTTTTGGCCGAATCATTTCAGCATTTCATATCTCATTCATAACAATCTTAAGTACTTGAATTTGAATCTCCTAGAAACAAAGACATTCCTAAGTAATCACAATACACTGATCCCATGCGGGAGATTTCACTTTATTATACTTTTATCTAATATACAATCCATACTTACATTTACCAGTTGCCTTTATTTACCTATTGACTTTAGTAGCTGGCACCCCTGCTTTTTCAGGATTCAGCCAAGATCACACATTACATTTATTTCTAGATACTGTCACCGAGCCTTTTTGTTTTGTTTTGTTTTTCTTGTCACTTATGTTTTTAAAGAGTTCAGACCAACAATTTTGCAATACTGTGTTATTTTAAAACTGTATTTAGTACATATATAAATTGAGATTTGAACTGCCTTCTCATTCACATTTAAATAATACTATGTATCACACTGAGGTAAGTTGTTGATTTTTTACATAAGCATTTAGAAGATGATTATTTTTGTGGATGCTCGTTAACATTGAACACTGTCAGCAGAACCTCACGGATAACTATTGTGGAAGGAGGTCTGTGTGAATTAATAAACTGAATGAAAGTTTAGTAAGCATTTTTTACTCTGAATTACATGTAGTGTACATAAAGTACCTAGAAGCAAGAAGCACTGTCAAAGATGTTTTCCAGTAGAATTATTACTTAATAAATATTACCTAGTAAATATTTTGTATATTGATTTTAAATGTTTATAGGTACCTACCTTTAAAGTGCCTAATAACTTTTAAATAGTTGTTTTAGGTTTTTTACTTAAGTAACTTAAATGGTAAACAGTTAATTTCTAGTAAGGAAATTTTAGCCAAGCTTAAAGTTTTTGTAGGTTTCGATTTGTTACTATGAATAATGAGGTTTTCCGTTATTTTTGATTTTATAATATTGGATTTTATGATGCAGTTTACTTAAATATCCTTTTCAGCCTAAGGGGATATCCCTTAAAAGCATAATTTGTGAGATCTGAAGTATAAAGATACACAATTCAAATTAGTTCTTTAAACAGAAATATGCTAATTATGAAAGTACCATTGGGATATTAAAATTTAAGCACAAATTTTGGATACTTGGTTCAGTCTATAATTTCTGTTCTTTTCAGGTTTATTCATAGTGTTGGTTATAAAACTTTAAGGTTTCTCATAATTGATAGTAGTCCATTACTAATTTTTAATCCGTGTGCTCATTTCATGTTTCCTGATAGGTTTTGGCTGATCTATTAGAACCTTATACATCTCTATATCTAATTATATATATACTTGCAGTTCCATATTCTGGGAGAAGTAGGAGAAAATGAAATTGAAAACAACACCCTTGCTTATATTTATTAATGCTGTTTGTTGACAGTTGGTTTTTCTTGTATTGCTCTGATTTAGCTGAAAAAATAAAAGTATAGGTAATCTTTTCCTTCTGTGAAAGTAAGAATATTCATTTGTCAAAGTGCTTATCACAAGTATTTTGCTGGCAACTATTCGTGAAAATGTACTTTCATAAAGATTGTGGTAGAATTCTTTTGTATCTGTGTTAATGTAACACACTTTGGATATACAGACCATCTGTCTACTTTAAGAATCCCTTTACTAATGAGATATCATAGCTAGAGTGACATGAATGGCCGTCTCAAAATTCATGAGTAAAATTCATTGTTTTAAAAGACCTTTGAAACTATGCCGAAACAAATCCTATGCTTAGCAGAAAAATCCTAATCTAATCAAACAGATTTTAAAACCATGCTCTGCTTTTTTCTTTTAGTTCTATAAACATGTGGTACAGAGTGTTGAGAAATTCATTCAGAAAGTAAGTATATAATTTTTCATGTATACACTTAATGTACTATAATTATAGATCAGTGCCATGTGCTCTTCTCTTTTAAATTAAATACCTAGGTTTAAATTGTTTTGATGGATTGTTCAAGAAATGATTCCATTTATTTTCTAATTACAAAGTAAAATAAATCGGTTTTTGGATAACTTTAAAAACAATAGTTTTCAGGTAGACATTTTTGTTAATTTTTATTGCCATCGCATCTGTCCTTGGAAAAAAATGGTGTCAATATGATTGATTTTTAATGAAATTATAAATTCATTGCCTTTTATAGCCTTTAAAGAAATTCTTAAATTTCACCAAGCTGAATGCCTAGAGAGCAGCAATCTTTTTAGACAAGGTGTGGAGAAAATATTGCCTACTATCATTTGGTGTTATCACTGCTTTTTATTTTAGCCATTCTGATAGACGGGTAGTGTTTTAAATTTCTATAAGGGCCGATCATGTTGGATACATTTTCACTTGCTTGTTTGCCATCGCCAGTGAATTGTCTTTCCATGTCTTCAGCCCATTTTCTAATTAGATGATTTGATTTTTTTACTGTCGAGTTTTGAAAGTTCTTAATATGTTCTAGATGTAAGTCCTTTGTCAGATGTGTGGTTTGCAATATTTTTTTCCCAGTTGGTAGTTTGTTTTTTCATTCTCTTAACACAGGTCTTTTGCAGAACACAGATTTTTAGTTTCGATGAGGTTCCAGATTGTGTATGTATTTTTAATACCAGAGGAAACCTTTTTTCCCCTCCTTCCTATTCTTACTAGGACTTTAATATCGGGGGAAGGGGCAGCCATAGATAGCACATAAGTAAAAGGGAGCACAGTGGGCGGGGAACCTGATGGCCACCTGCTTTGTTTTTCTCCTGTAGCCCTCGAGGTTGCTTGCACAGACAGCGCTTTGAGTTGTTTCTGTGGAACTCAGTTTGTAAAACCCACTGGATTAGACTATTGTTTATAGTAGGAAATACTGTTTTAGCAAATTTTTAAGAAAGTTAATTTGTTGTGCACATTATAGTCAAGTGAGAGATCTAAGAAAAAATTTGAAGTATTATTTAACGAGAGTAAACTTGTAATTTTGGGTATCATCCACCCTTGGAACCTACAGGTTATTCACCTTCTCTGTTTTTTTTTTCTTCATCCACCATAAACAAACAGTGCAAGGAAGGGAAGAGTGTGGCTGCAGTTTGATAATATGTTATCTGTTATTCTGTGTTTTAGCCATGAAAAATTTATAGTTCGATGAATAAAGATAATAAACGAAAAGGTAAATTAGCAATATAAGATGAGTTCCTGTAGGCCAGGGAAACTGCTCGAAAGAACACTCTGGCCTCTTGCGAGGGTTACATAAGGAATCAGGCACTTTAGCCCCATTGAAAGGAGTAAATTTCCAGATTCTCACATTCTTTTTGTACTTTTTACTAAAATTTCTCTGCCCTAAGGTATTTTAGATTAACTCTTTGTTCCACACCTCCTTAAGTTTGCATTTCATATATATCTTGAAACGCTTACCAGTCACTGTTAATCATTAAGATAAGAAATTTTTGCCTGTTTTATTTTATTTATGAAGTCAAGGATGTTTATATAAATGGTTTTTTGTGTGCGTGTGAAATAGGTGGACACATATAGAAAAGTGCATAAAACACATACAGCTAAATTTTTTATAGAGGGAAGACCTGTGTAACTGCCACTCACTTGATAAGCAGAAATTTGACTAAAGCGCCCCAAGTCTCCAGTGCCTTCTTCTGATCTATGACTCCCCAGGCGAACGGAGTGTGGAGTCCGACACTCGTGTTCGCTACATCCGTGCTTGCTATTGCAGTGTTGCTCTGTCAGTCAGAATTCTTAAATACTTCACCTGCCTTTTAAGTTGGCGTAAATGGAATCCCGTAGTATCTATTCCTTCGTGTGCAGTTCTCTCACTCAGTGTCATGTATTTAGGAGACATTCCTGTTGCGTGTGGCAGTATCCATTTCTTCTCATCACTACATATATGTTCCATTATGTGAATAAACAGCTTATCCCTTTTGTCGACAGACATTTGTTTATGGAATTATGGACAGTACTGCTGGAACATTCTCATATATATATCCTGGTTCAGCTTGCATTTCTGTGGGAGTGGAATTAGTGGGTTGTAGGATATGCATTTCTTCAACTTGGCTAGATAATTAATACCAAATTAATTTCAAAATGATTGTACTAATTCACACTCTCAATACTGATGTTGAGTTTATGCTGCTCATCTTTACCAACCCGTGATATTTTTAGACTTAAGTTTTTAAAATCTAATGAGTCTTAAAGTTTACTTTAAAAAGATATTATGTTAATATCACCTTCACTCAAGGAGTTAAATTCCAACCAGTATTAAAATTTCTAACAAGGTGTTTTTCAGACTCTTAATGACTCATCAAATAAAAGGAATTTCTATAGCCAAAGAGCAAAATGTACTCTGTTACCAAAATTAAAACATACTTGCTTTCTTTATGACAGCTGTTACTTTTCTTCAGATTCAGTATATCACATCTAGTTCAACCTCAGATTTTGCTAAGCTGTGTGCTAAAACTGAAGTTGGTGAGCTTTGTTTCATCAGGATCAGAAGTCTTGAAACTGGCATAAAAGTGTGTTTGCCATTTAAAAGAAAATATTGCTCGATCTTTCCATTTTTTTTTTGTAGTTTTAAGTTACATAATTAATGCTATTTCCTTAAGAAATAAAATACTGTGTAGATTGGTTCAAAGTTAGCAGTGAAGATCTTGTAGGCTCAGTTAGTAGTAGTATATAAATTTAGTTCTTGTAACCCCTCCTTTCCAATCTGTACACCTTTTATTCATGTCCTAGTGCGTTCACTAGGACTTCCAGGGCGATGATGAGGAGCAGTGCTGAGAGGGGGCCATCCATACTGATCTTAGTGAGAGGGCCTGTCCATACTTTATTGTCATCCGTACCTGATCATAGTGGGAAAACTTCTAGTTTGTCACTGTTAAGTGTGATGTTAGTTGTAGTATTTTTACAGAGCCTGTACCTCTGGACTGTGAACTTCACACGGGCTTTTCAGATTTTTTTAAATCCCCCTTTGGTGAAACAATGGCTGGAGTGTGTTGGAGTTGGCTGTTTACCTTCCCCCAGCTTGGTTAGGCTCCAGTTAAATGGTTTGTCCAGAGAGCACACCTTGCTAAGAAGAGTGCTGCTGCTGGCTATCTCAAAATGATTCCTTTTCTCCTCCTCCTGCCAGAAGCAGGAAAAGATTTTTTTCTAGTATTTACTGTGAGAACTCGTGTGGTGTCAGTTGTGACTGTCTTGGGACAGGCCTTCTTTCTTACATGCTACTGCCAGCATCGTTCAGTGCTTTGCAAGTATAGCCACATGCTCCTGTTTTTACCATTCTAGCTCTGTTTAATGTCAACTGTTAGTAGCTGAAATTGGCAGCACAAATTCTAATAACAAAATCATTATTAAAAGTGTGTTTGTATAATGCAGTGTGGTCCAACTCACCTCGAGGTTCTTTTGTCAGAAAACCCTGACTTATGATAACAGTAGAATGAAAATCACACAAATATGTTTAAAGGTGCATTCTCCCAATCTGTCATTGCCTTCTTCACCCTCTCCCCCAAAGGTTATTTGTAACACAAGAAATTGGAAATTAATAGTATGTAGTTTGAAGATTGTGTAGCTGAAAATTTAACATTACACAGCTTTTTAAAACAAAATTATTCAAAGAGTAAAAAATACCTCATGACATTGGAAAATCTTAAGAATTCTTGTTTTCAGTACTGATAGAACTTGAAGAGGAAATTGAAAAACATTTCAGGTTTTTTGGTATTAATTCTTTCCCCAAGTTTCTAGTTGGTGACTTAGCCAAGTTTACCAAATATTAAAGTTTTTTCAAACAAATTCTTAAAGTTTTTTTTTTTTTTTTTGCCATTTTATGTGGCAAAAATGCCTAATCTAGCAATGAAGGGAATTCTGTCCCACAGTATCTTCGTATGTAGTATGTTTGAAGATACTGTGGACGTGTTCTTTTCTTAGGCCTCATACCTTACTACTGAAACTTCTGCTACGTTTTTGAAGCTTTGTAATTTTTATGGTAGGCCAGAAAGGCCCATTTATTATATTGTGAACTCATGATTCTTCTGTATTGTGAGTTTGTAATTGCATTAAAAAAAATAAATCAAAGAAAAAAATGTATTTGTTATTTAAAAAAAAAAAAAAACCCAGTGCATTAATTACTTAGATTATTTACCATTCGGTATTAATTTTTTTTAATTTATTTTTTCTCAAATCCTTTGTAGATAAGCAAGGCTTTATATAGATATATAGATAATGAGGCATATATATATATATATATACACACACACACATACACACACACACACACATACACACTGTGTGTTCACCTCCCATTGTTAAATTTCTTTCTGTTACCACATATTTGACCCCCCTTTATCCTGTCTACCTCCTCCATTATTAACTTTTAAAGCTCTTACCATGAACTTACAAATTTCATTCAGATAATCATTTATATAAAACAATACATCAGATTGTTAATCATTTATATAAAACATTATACATCAGATTATTTTCTGTCTTGGGGAAAATTAAAATGGCAATAAATCAGTTAATAAATAATCACTTATCTATGTTTGTGGCATTAGGAAATAGATAATTTTTAACAAAGTGGATGTCCTCCTGCTTTCAAAATTTTAAAAGTTTTCTGCTCTTTACTGAGATATATTTTTTGCCTGGCTAGGTAGCTATTTCTTTGAATGTATAGTAGTCAAAGGAAAATAGCCTTGATCAGATACATGAACTGAGAGGGACGAATATGCTAGGCTTTTTGGGCACTTGAAGGAAAACTCACTCTTTCAGACTTTCGAAAATGGTAATTCCCAACAGAGCAGACATTTAACCTTTAGGTAGGTTAAACTGAAAGCTTTAATATTCAAATGTCAACATTATTATTGCCTTTTTATGAAATACTTCAAGTACTTAACAGCCACAGTCTTGCAGTGCATACTTGTAAATTGGTTCTAATGGTCTCTTCATTTTCTTGGCTTAATAAAGACCTTAAGGAAAAGGTTCTTTTAAAGGATTTGAAGGAACATCTGAAATACCACGTTTTTTTTGCAGAGTGAAATCACTCACTGTCTCAGCTAAATATCCCATAGAAATATGCGTGTGTCAGGAGATGGGTTGAAGGTCTTTTTCTCACTAGTACTCGGTTTCCGAGAAGAGTTTTGCAAGAACACAGTTTTGATTTAGTGCCATGTATGATTTCCAGGAAGTTACTTGGGGTAAAATATTTACCTAATTAGTCCCCAAAATGAAACTCGCTCTTTGCAGCCTTGATTCCATCATTTTAGTCAACACACGTTCGTGAAGCAGGTTTTCTCATGCTTCTGGATATGGAGACAAACTAGGAGGATTCTTCATTGTGCCCACTTAACTAGATAGGCTAGAAAAGCTTGTGGCAAAAAGGAGAGATTTATGTTCCTCAGTTCGAGTAAAGGATAAGAAGGTTGAGAAACATCAGTGGAGTTGCTGAAAAATGTTTTTTAGGATTGATTGCTAGAATCATAATGGTAGTGTCTTATCTTTCTTACAGGTGTGGTGTTTGAGAAAAGTTTTGAAACTTTGGGCTCAGTGTATGTAGAATGTTACAGTTTGACATTTGGCATTCGTTCCCGTGTTAGTACAGAAGCCCCTTGTCAGTGTTAGGTGCAGTCTGTCTGACGCACGCTGGCAGTGTTTTGTCTAGAGCTCTTCTTCCCTGGATTTGCTGATGCTTTCCATGTGGCTTTGCAAAATCATTAAACAGAGTTTTTACAACGTACCTTATTTATCGGCTACTTTTGTTTTTTGTCATTCAAGGCAGGTACACAGTCCTATTGTGGAACTTAAGTTCAACTGATAGGCAGTCGAACTGAGCCTATAGAATAGCCAAAGCAGAGTCTTCAGTATGCCATTCCAGACAAAGATGGTGTGGAATAGCCAGCGTCTGAGTATTTGTTACCTCAGCGTGAACAGTGATTTTGTATTTGTATAGGATTTGTGGTGATTTCTGTCGATCAGGAATTTTACTTTCTCATTTTCTTTTCTTCTCACTCTTTTTTTCATCAGTGTAAACCAGAATACAAGGTACCTGGACTTTATGTTATTGACTCCATTGTACGACAATCTCGACATCAGTTTGGTCAAGAAAAGGATGTCTTTGCACCCAGATTTAGTAATAACATCATTAGCACTTTCCAGAATTTATATCGTTGCCCTGGGGATGACAAGGTATGCTGTTTTTTTTTTAAAAGTAGATACCCTTTTGGTCTCAAGGAGACTCTTTATAGAGTATCTTAATTTATGATGTTATATTATCCTTTACTCTTAGTTATTCCGAATTTGTGTATTTAATTATTATACTATCTTTGTTCCTTTTTGTTCTTAAACAGAGTGGAAAGATGTAGTTGATTTTGCCACTTTTTAATTTATTGAAGCAATTGGTGGTAAACTTGTTATCATAAGCTTTGGCATTATACTAAAAGTTTATTTATTCACACACGACCAATTCAGAATTTTGATTATTTGACCTCATTTACCTACTTAGTGTTTGTGAAAAATGGATTTGCCAAGCAATTAATAGAAAGTAACTGCATATCAAAATTCTTGTGTTACGGTAGAGTTTTATTAGTGCTAGAAACCACATCATTAGGTCTGCTAGATCTGAATGACTAAATACTTGATGTCACGTTAAAGGAAGGCTTTTGACCCTGAGGGAGAATGAAAAGGGGTTGTTTATCTTCATGTGTGCTCAAAGATATTAGAAGGTTACTTATTTGGGATGCTGATTTGGATATTTAGTGTGCTCTTCTGACAAAATTGATTGCAATATTGATTATGTAGAAAAAGATAAGAATAGATGAAGACAGTAATGATCGCTTTAAGGAAGAACCACAAAACTTAAAAGCTCACCACAGATCTTTTACTTTAAATCCAACAGGATTAGGTAGCGTTTATTTTTAATAATTATAGTTCTTAATCAGAAAAATCATGTTACAGATGGACCTAGTGGGTATCGTGCTGAATGGAGTAAGTCAGAGAAAGACTAAATGCCATGTGATTTCACTTACACGTGGAATCTAAGAAACAAAATAAAGAAAACAGCAACAAACTCACAGATACAGAGAACACTTTGATGGCTGCCAGATGAGAGGAGATTTGGGGGTGGTGGATGAAAAGGGGAAGGGATTCAGAAGTACAGATTGGCAATTACAAAATAGTTATGGGATGTAAAGTATAGCATAAGGAATGTAGTCAATATTGTAATAACTATGTATGGTGTTGGGGTGGTCACGTCATAAGTTATATAACTAATCACTTGTACATCTGAAACCAATAATATATGCCAACTAATTGAAAAATAAAAATTATTAAAAAAACATGTTATAGTGGTTATATATGGAGATAAACTATTATCATCTTTGTTAACTAATGGATATGCTTCTTGAGACGTTTTCTTTTTAATTACTTTGGTACTTTGATAATTAGATGCAGGCAGAAGAATGCTTCTAATTTTAAGTGACCTATCATAACTGATACTTAAAATAGACACCTTAGAATCCCACCTAAAACAGCTTATTAAAAATTTTATGTATATATTTTTTTGAAGTAAGTTAAACACTTTGATTTAGAAATTTTACTAGTTTGTACTTGGATTTCTATCAGTTACTATGAATAAATCAGTGTTAAATTTGTAGACTTCATAATAATAGTGTTTCTCAGTTCTAATAGAGTTTAAGATGTAGGTTTTTTTTTTTATCATAGTAGGAAAGATTACATTGATACTATAATCTCAATCATAAACTAGAGGCATTATTTGTTTGTATGTAGGTAGATACATAGAATGATACTTGTCAGAGACTGGCTAATTTTGAAGTACAGGATGTGTGTCTTGGGAACTGGAAGATTTTTTCTTTAAAGCAAAAAGCTGTAAGGTACTTTCTAAGTGCTCACGTCTTAGGAGAGTCAAATCATAAGGTATGAAGCATTTTTTTGTGTAATTTTCTTATGCTTCATTTTAAATAAACGTTTGCATGTTAATGTAGTTCGGACATAGTTTGAAAATTCATTAGTATAATACTGTAAGGAATTTAAAGATGAACTAGAGCTTTATTCTTAAAATTGCTTATTTTACTTTTACAAAATATGTACATTTAACAGAAGTCTCTTTTTAATACTTAATTTCAGCCTGTCATTTAAATTATTTTCCTAAAGGAGTAAGTAATGCTACATTAGTCAGTAACTAATACTTACTGTTGTTTATATAGCTTTTATATGCTGAACAGCTGTGAAAGAAAATAGATTTGATTTAAATTCTTATGTGAAGAAATAACCTCCTCTGTCCTTAGTTTTAAAATGAAATTTTTAAAAAGTCATGTAAGATAAGAAGTTTGTCTTGATGTTACTTATTAGTTTAAAAGATAAAGTTAAAATCAGCTGTGACTTGTAGCTGTAGTGCCATGGCGAACGCTGACCTGCCTCAGCGGCCTTATTAACACGGTTCTCTGGCCGTCACCATGCTCTCGTGAGACTTCACATGGAGGCTGAAACCCAGTTGCTGTTTCACTTACTTTGTATATCAGGCAGAATGAACATGTTTTTTTCAAGCGAGTTAAGGTTAGCAAACGCAGAATTATAGGAACATAACTTCAGGGGTAGCAAGTACTGTAGAAGTGTTTTCAACCATCCATCCCACTCCACCCACTGCCCAAGTAGTCACTATGCGCTATGAAATGAATGTGCTAAGGTTTTAAAATGAAAAGATCAAAATGTCATTTTTCTTTTTTTCCTCTAGAGTAAAATAGTGAGAGTGTTAAACTTATGGCAGAAGAATAATGTATTTAAGAGTGAGATTATTCAGCCTCTTCTGGATATGGCAGCGGGGATTCCCCCTCCAGCTGTCACGCCCGTTCTGGCCAGCACCACTGCTGCCATGAGCAACACCCCAGGTACGCTTCTGCGCGGAGACTTCTTTTCCAGATACTCTGCTCGTACTTTCCCGGTGGTCGTTTGTGTGTGAAATGACAGTTTGACTGCGGGAGAATTTGTCTAGCAGTAGAGTAACTGAAAGAGAAAATAATTTGAAGGCAAAATAAAATCAGCAATTATATTTGAGTGTAATTCTTTTCTAAAAATTAGGGAGCTAAATTTTTTTAATCCTTAGAAACAGATATAATGACCTTTGGGAAATGGTGTGTCTGTTAAGTTTTTTCTGATTTAGGTTGTCTGCACCCTTTTAAACTCACATGCAAATCAACTTGATAGTTACAGTATACTAGAGAAAGTTAATATTTATAAGGAACCAACTTAATGGAGCCAAGAATCCTTCAGTAATAATCTTGAATTTTTTTTGAGGTATTTAAATGACATTTGTAATTTTTTATCATCATCTAAGAATTATATTTGTTAACATTTTGGTATATATTTGCTTTTTAGGTGTGTATGCAGACACGGTTTTGAACAAAAATAGTTTAATATTATACATAGCATTTTATAATTTTTCATTGAAGATTGTATTTTGAATCGTTCCTTATGTAATTGAATTTTCTTCTGTGGCAAGATTCTTAACGACTGCTAAGTATTGTTGACTCCTTTAAAGTAATAGCTTAGTTAATTGAAAACAAGTTTGGATGATCCTTTTGGTACTTTTTTTCACCTACCTAATTCTGTATTGGTTTTTCAAAATGGGGACAGTAAAATAACATTTGTATAAATTTCTGTGTATTTTATGAAGCGACAGCAAATCCCTCTACCTTTTTAAGCCTTATTCATTCTTACATATTTATTGGAATGGGTTTGTTGTCTTTTTTAAAAGGAACTCCTGTGACACCTGTTACTCCAGCCAATGTGGTCCAAGGTTTACCTGACCCGTGGGTATCTCAGATAGCAAACACGGATACGCTTACGGCTGTAGCTCAGATCTTGCAAAGTCCTCAAGGCCAGCAGGTGAGCAGACTTTTGTCATGTTGACAATGATTTAGAGCTTATTATTTTCCTAATGTATTGTTTCATTGTGTACCACCTAAAGAGTATGTGTTTTTTATTTTGTAAAAATAGCATCACACTATATATAGTAACTTGTTTTTTTCATTTAGTAACGCATGAAGAACTATTTATAGTAACTTGTTTTTTTTCATTTAGTAACGCATGAAGAACACTCATGTCATTAAAGATGGTTTTATGAAAAATTATTTTGCACCAAAATATTGGTTTTTAGCACACACAGTTTGTGCCAAACATTATTAGGTGCTATTGTTACTCCAGTAATGAGGCATGGAAGTCTTCTATATGGGAGAAGGTGTCATCCTATTTTAAGAGAGACAGATAATAATAAAGTGTAAAACATTGTTTTTAGATAGTGATATATGACTTAAAACGGTAGATCTTTAGAGTGACTAGCTAGGTTTGGGAGAAGAGGTCAGAAATAGAGACGAGGGTAGTCATGAGAAGGTGTCTTTGAAGAAGTGGCATTTGAATTGTGACTTCAAGTGGTAAGATATGAGGGTAGCTCATCTTTAGCATCTCTCTTTTCTTAACCTATTCTTTAAAAACCAGTTTAACAATAAACTTCCTGAACTCTCTTTCCTCACATATTAATGTAGTTTCAGCTACCTGTGAGGTTTTAAATGTCACCTCAATGAGGCCTTCAAATAGTGATTTAAAACTGCAAAGTCTGCCTTTCTTCCTTTCTGCTCTTTTTCTCTGTCACCTGTCTCATTTCCTTCCTTAGCACTTACTACCTTCCGTTACATTATGTAATTCTTTATTTTGTTTCTTCTCCCTGTAATGTATGATAAACAAGGGCAAGGACTTTTGTCTGTTTTGTTCACTGCTGTATCTCCAGTTGCTAGGTTGTAGCAGGTGTTCAATACATTTTTGTAGAATGAATGAATAATGTATAGAGGCATAGTGATATTGGATATATGAGAGATATTTTTAGGGTTGAGTTGTCTGGAATATAAGGTGGCCCATGCATGTAAGTTATTAGTGACAAAGTTGAAATGATAGACCTAAGTGTGGGACTTGGTTTTCAAAAGACATACATGGTAGGCTGAGAATAGAGGGTGGTTATGCTAGGCAGTGGGGAGTTACCACAGATTTTTATGTCAAAGTTAGTCACATTATGTGATCAATACTTCAGTGGATAGGAGAGGGGAGAAGGTCTGGAGATAGGAGTATATTTGTTTTGGTAACTGATAATGGAAGAGAAGTAATAAATATGTGAAAAATAGGGTTATGGACTCTAAAATGACATTCTCAAAAAAAAAAGAATGGGACCAACGAAGAGTTTTAAAAATATAAAAAATGATTCAGTTATAGTCATAGATTGGACCCAATTTCTACATTTTGGGGACAGTTGATAAATTTAATTAATAATACATAAAATTATTGAATTATAATTCTGTGATAATATTTTGAAAATAATTCATAAAGCCATTGTTCTGATTAAAAAAAAAAAAGCTATTAAATACTTTTAGTAGGAGAGGGGATTCTCCAGAGGAAATAGTACATAGAGAGTCAAGAAGACATACTAATTGCTAGACTCTGAAGTCAGAGTAGAGGAGAAAGGATGCTGCAGTGATTTGAACGTGGGGACTGAAGGCATAACGGCGCTATTGGGGGAAATGGGGATGTCAGAGAGGAAGCTGAAATGTGCAAAGGAGAGAGAGAGCATTTCCTTCTTTCCTCCCTCCCTACTCCCCCTGCCCCCTCGCTGTATTCCCTTCCCTCCTTCTCTTCTTGCCCCTCCTTTCCTGTGACTCCCTCCCTCCCTCCCTTCATTTCATCTGTTCTGTAGCTTCCTCATTGCAGTAGCTATCATATATTTTTATATTATTTTCTTTGCTATTACATTAGTAGTCCGTAGTAAGTGTTTATTTGATAGCTAACTGCTTGCTTTCTTAATGCTACTACTTTAGATAGACACAAAGTTACTTTGCTTATTGTCACCTTAATTTGTGTTTGAACCTTCTCCCATCATAAGGTGAACTTAAAAGAGTACAGATATCTTGTTCAGCAATAGCTTTGCTATTTCATGTTTCTATTCTAAACTGGTAATTTTAGATATTGGGTTTAGTTAGAAATTGATTAGAAAAGTTTTCATTACTTCTAGAATCTACACAGGATTCATGTAATTATGAAATATCTTCGGGATCTCACTATTCGATTTTGTTTTTTAAGAGTGGGTAGGTAGGCTAGGAGTTGCTTTCAGTCTTGTTGACACAGTTCACCTTTAGTTTCAGACTCTGCTCAAAGAGACAGATTTTTTTTTTGCTTTTCCTGCTTTTAGGAAATATGTTATCAGATGCAGATCTGAAAGAAAGCAAAAGCAGCTGTGGTCAGTGCTTGTCCTCCTACAGAGATTCAGTAGTTAATTGAAGAAGGAATGAAATGCTTAGTGAAAAATATCAGCCTGCCTGTGATGAGTTCTTTATCTGATTTTCATCGTATGACCATTTTATTTTGTTTAAAATTTTCTGACTTTCCAGAAGCAAGATAGACTTATTAAGGAATGTGTTTATATGGCACATAAAATCTTTTGTGAAAAAAATTAACTTGTTTAGAGTTAGTTCGTACTTTTTCCTGATCTCCAAAGACTAGAACAAATTTTATTGACTAGAAGTTTTATTGACTAGAAGTGGACATTCTTGTAAATAAAACTCAGCACCTCTTTGTATTAATTTCCCTATTTTTCCCCTTCCAGTTTCAGCAGTTAATACAGACTTTACAGATACAGCAGCAGAAGCCTCAGCCTTCCATTCTACAGGCCCTGGACGCTGGCCTCGTGGTTCAGTTGCAGGCTCTTACGGCACAGCTGACGGCGGCGGCGGCAGCAGCTAGCACCCTCAATCCCTTAGAACAGGGAGTGCCCTTTAACAAGGTAGAAATTCAGAAACTGAATTGTGCTATATGAATTACTGACTTCTATATACTCTCATGTGGATTCAATTCTGTAAATTACTTTTTATTGTAGAACTATTTTAATATCGACTGTACTGTATTAAGACATAAGTTTTACAAAAGGTTCAAACTTCTGAAAGAAATTAAGTAATTTTATAATTTCACTTGAAACATTTAGAATGTTTTCTTTTGGCTAAAGATAACGATTTACAGGTCTATAATATTTTGATAAATTGAGGCCTAACTATAAAGTATAGTATTTTTAAAGGTGAAAATCTTACAATATGTAGTTTTGTATTATGTTCTCAGTATTCTTGTTAATTATGGAAAAATTAAATACCTTGGAAGTGTTATCCATATTATTTTTATTTCTGCTCCTGTTATATTCACAGGAAACTATAGATTCATTGGGTTATTAGAATTTTTTAGACAGCAGCTTCCAAGTATAATTTAGTCTGACTCTGCATAGCTAGATTACATTAAAAGCCTTTAAATTTAAATTGATCATTTGGAAAACAGTGGATCATCCTAAGAAAACTATACTAGGAATAGCTCTTTTGATTATAGTCTAGGGTGTTTTTCTTTTTTCTTTCTTTTTTTATCATTTTATTAATTATTTTAATTCTAACATTCACTTCTGTAAAGTTAGAGTTTTAGTATTTTCGTGTCATTTATTTTAAGGTGCACAAGGCAGTGTACATCAAAGTATTTTAAAGAAAAGATCTACTCGAATAAAATGTATTGATATAGTATATCATGATACATTCTCATATTAAGTGATAGAGATAAATTCGTGGGATGGTATTTACCTTTAAATAAAATAGCATTTGCAACATATTTTTGTGAGAAGCACTATTTAACTTCTTTCTTTCTTTCTCCTTTTTTTTTCCCACTTAGAAGTTGATGGATAGATTTGATTTTGGGGAAGATTCTGAGCATAGTGAAGAACCCAAAAAGGAAATTCCAACTTCTCAACTGTAAGAGTTGTTATGTTTTTCTTTTTAACCATAAAATTTTTCTGTTATTTTTATGAACATTGGATAAGTATACTTTGAATAAGTTGGGTTATTCAGGCTATTTTGCTCTCACATTTCAGAAAGACGGCGGGATCGCTGTCTTGTTCCCTTACTATATTATTTTGCTTCAACGATTTGCAAATCGTTGGACTTTATCAATAATCTCTATAGGAAAGTTGACAAATATTGATAAATCTAGTCATGATATTTTCTATATCTGTATTAGGCTCTGAGTTATTTAACTCACTTATAAGAATATTTGAAATAATGGTAAAGAAGCTTGGTTCTAGTGCCAGTGGCTGCGTCTGGGCAGTGTACCAAATTCTTGGAGTGTATCAGACAAATCAGAAGGGTTAGGGTTGTAGGATTTTGTTTTTTTAAAGAAATGGATTGTGTTTTTATTTAGATCAGTTTCTTTTCCCCCAAACAGTTCTGCAGAGCTCAGAGTTCGATGAGGGTTTGCAAAGGACCAGTAGGGAGGACAGTGTTGGATGGGAGGTGGAGCGTGTGGAAGATGGGAGAATCGTGGGGGACTGACTGATGACCAGGAGAAGGCCTCTGAAAATCTTGTTTCAGACAAGTTATTAGATTTATATATTGGGATAAGAATTTAAAATTTTATATAATGTTTAAAGATACAAATATATCCTTTTGATAGATTCTACTTGAAAAAATAAAAACTAATATTTTAGATTATCAGTTGTAAAGTTAGAGGAAGCATTTGAGATTATGTAGATCAGCATCTTGAACAATATAAAAATCTTTTAACAGTCCTGACAAGGCTTTTACCCAATATGTTAATATGTTCCATTGCAAGAAGTTAAGGAATTGTTAGTGCTCTGTGTTATTTTGTTACTGAATCCTGTTTGATTTGCTATCTACAAACTCATCCACTTTACTTTCTAATGCAAGGAAGCAAATTGGTTCCAATATCTTTTGAGACAGCCCTTCAATATTTGAAGACAGATATCATTCTTCCCCTTAGGTTTATTTGCTCCAGGGACGTACTCTTTTTTTCACCCGTCTCAAGACTTCTCACCATCCTGATTGCCCCTTTTGGGATGCCCTCTTTTTTGTTCATGTCTTACCTGGTGGCACCCAGAATTCCAGGTGTATTCCAGGTGTGAATTTCCCAGAGTATAGTTAAATTATTTTCTCTTATCTAAACATTGTTTCTGTGTTAATATACCTAATAATATGAATGCTTTTCTGAAGAAAGCAGATTAATTTTATGAAGTTTATGGCAATTATAATTGTAGGTTTCATATGTACTCATTGATAGAACATTTCTCCCACTATCTCATAGAGAAGTTAAAGTGACGTTTACTTTAAAATTGTTTTTATAGTGTTTTATTGAGCTTTTCTTAAAATATTCTAATGTAAAAATACTAACTTTTATATGTATTTAACAGCGTGAGATAGTTGTATCAGATCTTCATCAGAGTATCTCTAACATGTCTGCTGTTGAACACTATTACAGAGTATATTTCTGTTTTAACATATTAATATTCTGAGGTATTCCATTTTCTTTGTTAATATTTCAAAAGTAAACATTGTAATAGAGTATGTTTCATTTATTTGGCACTTGGGTATGTTTGAGTACTCAATTATTTTCATATCTTTGCTGGATTGTAAAACATATTTCTACTTATTTTTCTTTTAGTTCTCATGTTTCAGAATCTGTGAACAGTTCCATTTTTCATCAGATAGCAGAACAGCTACAGCAGCAAAACCTTGAACATCTCCGACAGCAACTCCTGGAACAGCAACAGCCTCAAAAGGTTTATAACGCCATCTTGTGGTCTTTAGAGTTATTGCTGTCTAGATTCTATGGAATTATGCTTAAGTATGATTTTTCTTCAGCTATTTATTACTAAGAAGATCAGTCATTTCAGGACCTTTACAGTTTTTCTGTAATCAAAATGTGCTTTAGCAACTTGTGAATCAGTTGACAACATTGTAGAAATTAATTTAGTATGCTGGAAGTGGAGAACAGAAAACAGATGGTTTTTCATTATTATAACTTAAAACTTCGTATGCTTTCCTCTCTACTCAGTTCCCTATCAGGCAAGGTCATGATGATTTTGCCATTGCTGATGGCGATGATGCCATAGTTTATTGCTACCTTTACTTAGGCTGTTACCATGCGGCAGGAACTGTATTAGGCATGATTACATTTAACGCTTATGAGATAGGCCTTTGACTCCCATTTCACACCATAGGATATTGAAGTTCAGTGAAGTGAAACATCTCATGCAAAAGTATACGGTCGGTATCATATGTCATTAGTCTTAAGACACCATTATTTTGTGCATAGCTAAGAATTTTTAATCTCTTCTAAATTGTAACATCCCTTGAAGTTGTAAGAATTTTTTTAAATTTCAGAGGTGTTAAAATATGAAGAAAAATCACACCCTGGAATTGATCAAATATGTCAAACAAGGCAAGGTTAAATCCATTACAAAGCTTGTTTTGCTCTATATGAGAAGTACAGTAAACTGTTCAGGATAGAAAGTTTTGGAAATTCTCCCCACTCACCCTTCTTCTTAAGTGGAAAACTTTTTGGCACAAATGAATTTAACATCACAAATACTTTTAAAGTATACATTGTTAGGCAAATGACATATATACACTGAGATGAACAGAAAAGCAAGACCTCAGGTAACTTCTCTGATGGAGCACATACATCTGTGTGAACACAAGGCAGAATTCCAGTTTCTGTAACAGTTACAGGTGAAAGCCTGGGAGAGTATGGAAAAGAGAAGAGTTACTCTGGATAGAGAAGGTGGCAAACCTTAGACACCACTGGGGTCTGAAGTTGTCCTTTTAATGTAGATAGTAAATGTAAAAATAACATTAATGGTACTTGTTAGGTTGGAACTTGTACATGGAATTATGAGAGTGCAATTCCATATCTTACTTTGAAGAAATAATTCTGATAGAAGTGTTTGGAGTATATGCGGTATTTTATGTCGAGCAAATATATATCTGCCTGAGAATTCAGGACTTAAAGATAGAGCCCAATGAAGAATAATTCGATGTTGTTTAAAGAAAAATACAAGTTGTAGTTCAAGGAAAAGAAACAGGCTATCAGTGATATTACAAGAAATCACAGAGCTGTTACAGAGGCAAGAGGTAGTAATGATGGGAGAGTATTTGAACAACAGGTTTGTTCATCTATAAATGTGACACTTTTGAATTGCTTTAGTTCCAGTTTCATTTTACAAGTAGTACTTAGTAGAAGCAATAAACTCAAGATAGTACTCTTGACCATCTTGTGATTATCACCAAGTTATTGAAGTGAAAGCTGAAAGTTAATAGAAACTTGGGAGTTATTCTATCTTAAGAATCTCACCCTCACCTCACCCCCCAAAAAACCTCTTGGCTTATTAGTTAATTGCCCTATGCATTATCTCCAGAATGTTAGAAGATACAGTAATAAGACCCCTTCGAAAGGAGTAGATGTTCTTAAAAGCTTTGTTGTTCAAAAACGAGTGATGAAGAAAAGAGAGTGGTGAAGAAAAATAACTTTTCTAATGTGGATAATGTTTAAAACAAATTTAGAATCGGAAAGTATATCAACAGAGTAACAGTTAAATTTCATAAACTGTGTAACTGGCTCTACCAATCCAGTTGCCCTAGTGTATTTAAGATAGGGTGAAATAGGCAGAGTAAGTAAGCAATTTTATTTACCAGTAAGCTCAATGAGGCTGCCTAAAAGTTGTTATAGTGTCTTAGAGAAAGGAATTGGGTTGCTTGTGCCACTCTGAACATTGCAGTTCTGACCACACCTGGGTGCTTGTTGAAGTCTAGTATCCCTAACAATAGGAGAACGTTGAAAACGGGAGCATTTTCAGAGAATGGCCGAATAGTGACGGACTAACAATCATGTCATATGGGGAATGATTTCTTTTGTCTCTAGGAAGTTGGAGTTCACGGTTTTGATAATTGTTTTATCAGGATATTCAAGAGTTAGGTTGAAATGCTGATGATGCAAATGTTAAGACAAATAAATGCTTTTAAAAGGAAATTAGGAATTAAAAAGTTATGGACATTTCAGCCATTTAATAATGAAGAGGTGACAGTAGGATATCAAAAATATGTAATTTGCTTCAGTAATTTTTTGCGTAGGAGAATATAATGGAAAGAGTAGAATTGAACGTAAAACCGGGGTGACATATAAGAGCCTTGAGTTGCTTTACATGAGTTGATTGATGTCTCAGCTCAAATAAACTGTTTCTGGATACTGAGGTTGTAGGTTTATTAGCATCATAAATCAAGGAATATAGTAGGCATACCATAGTATATGTCGATTTCAGCAAGACCTTTGACAGAGTCTGCCCTGTCAAAGAAAAAAATAGAGGAAAGTGGATTTATGAATCAAAATGCGACACTCGATGAGTGTTAATGCAACCTTGAAAGAAATCTCTGCTAGCTGCCATTATCCCTGTTTTCTATTTTTATCGATGCTTTCTTTGCATGAAGACATCACTAAAGAAATGAAATGTGTACCAGAATGTATACTAATGTATCATTTTTATCTGGATCCAAATGGATCTTTTTAAAAAATATTTTTATGTCACCTTACAAATAATTTACAGAAGGTAGACTCAAAGGAGAGGGAAAAACTTTACTAGAAATTTTAATTTGAGATGTAGCAAACTTTTATTTCACTTAAATTTAAATGTCACACATTCTTTTAGGAAAATAGAATAGTCCAGGTTCTTATCCCAAAATACTTAAAGATGAAGTCCTGCCTGTTGAATAACAAAGTAGATAAAGATACCGTTATTGTCCTTAGAGATACATTTTTCTCATCAGTTCTTGAGTTTGAGAAATACATTTAGGATATGGTCATCTGAAAACTCGTACCCTTAATATGTCACTTAAATGTTAAATTTCACTATTGTCATTGGGGTCTAGAATGCGACTATTTTTTGCATTCATCTACTTGTCTAGTAATTGTGAAATATGTTCCTCTGTTTTCATCTCTTATGCCATGGACAGAAGAAGAATCTAAATATTCAACCATGTTCCGAGGAAGCTAAAAGCAGATTACGAAGATGTTGTCTCCAATCTTATTTATACCATTTGTACCTTCTTGAAATATAATGCAGTATTTTTGGTAGTGCAGTAAAAACGAATGATGATTTATTTCAGTGTTGATCACCTTTCTGAATATTTTTATTGCTTTTTCTTACTATTTTTAGTCTTTTTTTTTACATGATTGGAAATAATAAGAATGGAATAATTCTTAGGATGATGAAATAGCAGAATGTTTCAATATAGGAAAATAAGACCTGTAAAATTCTATAACATATCTTAGATTTAAATTTTAGTGGACTTTTTAAAGTTGAAAATTGTCTGTTTTTCATAAGATTTCTAAGAAAGAATAAAAGTCATGAAATTCCAGTCTTTTCAAGTAGGTAAAACTATTCAAAAAAAGAAACTCAGAAACTTAAATTGGTTGCAATGGATCCTGGTGGTTATATCAATGGTTTAACTGTCATAGAAAATTAGAGTGAAATCCAGGGGAGGGTGGAGTAGAAATGAGGCTTTAAGGTGGATGATGGAGTAAGAAATAAATGATGTGAAGAACATAGAAGTACTGAGTTAGGACCAAATGCTGAAAGCTCAGGTTGCAGTTCAAAACTGCCTTGCTATGTTGTTAAGAATTTTATTGTTATTATACCATTTTAGAGGCATAAGTCAGGACTATGCTTAAAACATTTATTTGATTTGTTCTGGAAGAGTATGCTTATTTACTAAATTTTGATCAACAGTGTGATAGTAGAACATGTATTTAAATAATAGAAGTCTTTTCTAACTTTAGCTTTGATTTCTTTCTTAACCTTGAAAATGTTACTTGTCCTTGGTGAACCTTTTTCTTTACTAATCAGAGACTTGGAACGGTTTTTAATGCTCTTTTTGGTTATTAATTTTTATGCTGTTTTCTTTCATTTTAAATGTCGTCTTAGAGTAAATTTTAAAAAGTTTATTGAAATACAATTGACATGTAACATTGTGTGAGTTGCAGGTATACAGCATGATTTGATAGATTTACGTATTGCTGTATCATACCACTGTAATGTTAACACCTCTGCCATGTCACATAATTATCATTTCTTTTTTGTGCTGGGAACAATTAAGATGTAGTCTTAGCATCTTGGAAGTTTACAATATGATATTGTCTGTAATCACTGCTAGCATTCCTTTTACACATAGGAAGACTGACATTCAGAGTTCAAGTAACTTGTTAACAATCACAGTTGGGGCACAGGAGTGGTCATTTTAAGTTGCTCTTTGTTGTTAATGATGAGAGTCGTTCCCAGCTTGTGTGCCACCAGGAACAGTTTTTATTAATCTGTGTCATCTGCGAGAGGTGTAAGAGTTTATGTAGGGAGACCTTTTTTTTTCTTAAATAATAATCTGTTTTCTCATTTTTAGTCAGCATCATATATATATATATATATGTAATTTCTAATTCGGTTCATACTTATTAGCATCATGTAAGCAGTGTCATTCTAGTCATAGGGAAAAAATGGTTCACATGTTAAATGTTACTATAATTAGGCTTTATTGCCTAACTTTTATTGGACTTTTCGAAATATTTTACATATCTCAGAGTACTTTCTAATATTTTGTGAATTCCTAGAGATGGAGATTGGGGAAGGTCCAAGTTGAGAATTGTTTTGCTAGGTCAGTGATTTTGATATTGGCATTTGAGCTTTGTTTTGCTTCTTTACATGTAATATGTGACTTAGTCCTTTAATATTAAATACTTTAATGGACTTTTCATTTATAGCATTTTATAAAAATGCTTATTGTAAATGAAATTGTAGATTCATTTAACTTAGTGCCATTATATATCATTCGTGTTATAATCCTTTTATTAATTATTGATAGTTTATATTTTCCACAATTAAGAATTTATTTGAAGACCCACTTTATCTTACCTTTCTATTCTAATATTATAGTCTTCTCCCCCTTTTATGATGTTCCATGCTTTTAAGTAAACAGATTTATACAAAAGTGTAATTTTAGATTGGGCTTTTTAAATGCATTAGATTCATTTTAAAAATTTTAATTGTGACGTTTGCATGTTTAAAATTTTATTTGTAACATTCATTATTGCCCAATGTTCATGTATTTGTAAATATTCTCAATAGGCAACCCCTCAGGATAGTCAAGAAGGGACATTCGGATCAGAGCATTCGGCGTCACCATCACAAGGGAGCAGTCAACAGCATTTCCTTGAACCTGAAGCAAATTTGGATGATTCCATAGATATTCAGCAACAGGTAGAAAGTAAATGCTTTTCTAGGTCATAAATGTATATATTAGCTAGAGAAAAAAGTATTATGAAATACGGTAACTTTCATTTTAGGTAAAATATTTTATTTATTTTATGTAGAATAATGACATCCTGAATGTTTTTCTTTCTAATACTTAAGTTTCACACATTAACCATTTTACTATTAGGCATTAATGCTACAGTGGTTAATATATTGTTAGGCAGAATTGTCACCACATACTAAACCTCAACTAGACATTGTTTGCTCTTTTGACTTTAAGGACATGGATATAGATGAAGGGCAAGATGGAGTGGAAGAGGAAATCTTCGAACAAGAAGCAAAGAAAGTGGCTGTTCGCTCTAGATCAAGAACACATTCACGATCTCGTTCAAGGTTCTACAATAATGTCTAAGAATAGTTGTGTGTAATCTTTAGAAACGTTGGCTTTATTTCTTTGTGTCAGGTTAAAGGAAATGTTTTTCTTAGAATGACATCTTATATTCTCTCAGAAAGAAGTAATCTGGAGTTTGAAAATCAGAAAGTACTTTGTTCTGTTTTCAGTTGGATATATCTTTGGCCATTTATTTGAATAATCCACATGAATCACAGCCATATCACGAGACTTAGATTTTGGACTATCCCTGATTTTAGTTAATAATGTTTGATGATGCCCTAACTTTTAGGATATCAGTGTTCCTGTACCACAGTTAAATCATGCTGTAGAGAAAGAGCATTGGAAATTGTATGGTGTTTTTTGCATTTCATTTCATCTCACAGTAATACCAAAATGATCGTAAAAGTGAAACTATAAAAATTTTTACAAACATTAAGCATAATATTAAACTATTATGAAACATATCCTATAAATGGTTTTCTTTGTGGGCTTTTCAACACGACTAAGCCTCATTCATGTACATGCTCATTCAAATTGAAGTTGAAAATGCCTGATTTCTTAACCTGGCACATTTTTGTGTAGCACTGTACATACATGTTTTTGCTACAGATTGTCTCAAACTGAAAGTCATTAGTATTTAACATTTTTTTATACCCTGTTTTCTGCACAGGAATACCACGAAAATCTGAACAATAAATGCTAGAGGAGGGGCAGTACCTTTGATCACTTTTTTCGTCATTTCTTATTTGTTTCAAGAAGTTATTTGTATTTACCTGTTGTAAATGAGAGTCTGTCAGATCAACTCTCTCTACATCCACCTCCTGTCAGTGAATTATCTTGCTAAGCAGTTACAGTGTCAATGCTGAAAACGTCTTTGCTGCAGCCTAGATCACAGCTTCTGTCTTTGTCTTGCAACACCTCCTTAATGAGAATCTGGGAGAGAGTTCAGTGGCATATGGTTGACAGGAAAAAGAAACAGTTTCAGTATCACCTTATACTGTAAAGTCAAGCACCATGAAATTTTAGAAGTCGAAAACTTGTAAGCAGAATCATATAGGGCTTAATGCTCTGCTGGAAACATTATCTGTTTCCTAATTTTAAGAATGTAACATCTTTGTCACCTAAAGGATCTTTTTATTTTATTTTATTTTATTTTATTTTATTTATTTTTTAAAAAAATTTTTTTAAAAACTTATTTTTATTTTTTTATTTTTTTGGTTTTTCATCCCTGTTCTCGACTCTGGTTTAAAAAATGAGTTGGAAGATACTAAGAGAAATCGAGGCCTTTAGTAGATCTCACTCTCCTGTTCTTCATGGTTGTGAATAACAACTGAGACTCAGTAAGAACCATTGAAAACAAATATCTGTGGCTAAGTGTGGACCTAAGCAGTACATAGATTTCAGAAAATGTATGTTTTATACTTGATTATACTTATGTCTTTTTTAAGAGATAGCTAAATATAAGGCAGCCTTTTCTTTTTCTCACTTAGAAGTGAGAAATTTGATAGAAGGGTAACATTGCCATTATAAGTAAAGTAAGATTTTTTTTTTTAGATCACCAAGAAAACGAAGGTCCAGGTCACGATCTGGTTCTCGGAAGCGTAAGCACAGAAAGCGATCGCGCTCGCGCTCCAGGGAAAGGAAAAGGAAGTCATCTCGCTCGTACTCCAGCGAGAGAAGAGCTAGAGAAAGGGAGAAGGAACGGCAGAAGAAGGGGTTACCGCCCATCCGGTCCAAAACATTAAGCGGTAAGTGACACTTTTACAAAGCTACGGGATCTCTGAATCTTATTTTAAGACTGAGAATTCGAAAAATGTTTTTTTTTTTGTTTGTTTTCTTTTTTTTTAAATGAGTAATTTCCTTTTTGCTTTTTGTGATGTGTTAAGGGAGAAACGAAGAGCAGCTTCTCTTCAAACGCTAAGGTTATACAGAGGTTTTTTTAATGCAAGTTACAAAATATAAGACTTGACTAATGATATCTGAAGTGGACCAGGCCTAGTGTGTATTTCACGGATACAGTGACTTCTGTGCATAGTGTCCTCACCAGCTATGACCACCAGGTCTATAGGAGTATTATTATAGGAAGCACATAAATTTTAAAGCCTATTATAAACTCAGTAGATCGGTACTGAAGGAGACATTCCTACTGAACAAACTAC